AAGAAACTAAAATATCACATAGGGGCCCACCTTCATTGAGCAGCCGATAAAGAGCAACCACATCTGTGCCAGAGCAGAATGGCCTTTCACCACCCCCCTTCATGAAAAAAGAACCAACTTTACGAGAGGAAAAACGAGTTAAATATCTCATGGGGTTGGAATTAAAACAGATTATTTACCTTCATCATGACAAATCCTATAGTTGAGTTTTCCTCCCATGACTCGTATAATCTGTTTAATCGAGCGGCCTAGCATTTAAGTGCAAAATGATCAAAATTAATGCAAACGAAAGACAATTCCTATAGTCAAAACATAAACCCCAGAAGGTGAACATTAAAAAAGTTTAGACATGTACTTTTATAGAGCATACTCATTAATAGAAAATACAAAATCATAATCTACTGGGCATATGAAATAGGAATGAAACTAAACAGAGAATTTAACATGGAATTCACCATGGAGGCAGTGATAGCATTAAGAGCAGACGGTCTATTTAGAATGGCCATCCTCGAATTAGCTCTGCCTTGCACCAGAACCTGCAGTTTTTTGCCAAAACATGAAAAAGGGTTCCTTAAAAATTAAATCTTTTCAATATATAATAAGTGTATACGAATGTAATCTTAAAAATCTTAATTCTTCAAACACCATTATAGCTCCAAAAAAGACTTATGCTAAGGAAAGCACAGATAAACAAAATTCNAAAATGAACAAAGAACAGAACTTTTGTGAGTGAAAAATCACCAAGATATTTCTACCGAATCACCGAGTTCATTAGATAAATACACATTTCAAACACATGAGTTGACATGTAAAAATAAATAAAAAAAGGGGGAAAAGAACACTAGCCTCTTCGTGCTGGAGATAATCGGGCTGCGTATAGCTAGGGAGAGCCGAAAAGCATCTACTTTGTCGATAAACAGAGCCATTTCTTTGTAAAGAACGACCCAATGGTAACAGGAGTTTCAGTTTCTGCATTTTTCAGAAGAAAGATCAAAACTTCCGTAGATTGGGTGGTGTTGGCGGAGTTTTCTTTTGCGGCTACTGGAGATTTTCTGGGGTTCGAAAAAGGACAGAAGGTGCTCTGAAATATTACACTCCAGTCCCTAAACTTTTCGGTATAATACTTTTCGACTGAATTTAAGTACTTAAGTGCGACGAATGTAAATGTGACAATTATACACTTGAGTCCCTCAACTTCTCCCAACATAATTATTCTTCAAAAATTCTTTTTAAAGATAATAAGTTGTTTTCCAAAATATACGAAATTGATAATTATCTCATGAAATTCAAAACTCTAAAGTGACAAAAAAATAAAACGATACAAAATATTTTACTTGATTTTGCATGAATTTATCAACTTTAATATTGATTTAGATCGATTAATAGTTAAACAAATCGATAAACATCTAAAAGCTATTAACTATTCATAAACAATTGTGAGTGGTTTCATTAGGGCTTTTAAGCAGAGATCGATTAATAGTCAAACAAATCGGAACAATTGTGAGTGATTTCATTAGGACTATTAAATAGAGACCGATTAATAGATTAATAGTAAAACAAATTGATAAATATCTAAGAATTGTTAGTTATTCATAAACAATTATGAGTGGTTTCATTAGGACTATTAAACAGAACGAGCAGATCGTGCATTCGACTATGCAGCCTTTTGCCAGCTCAGCTCGCCTTTAGTATCTAGTGACTATGCAACCTTTTGCCGACTATGCAGCCTTTTGCCAGCACCGACTATGCAGCCTTTTGCCAGCTCAGCTCGCCTTTAGTATCTAGTGACTATGCAACCTTTTGCCAGCTCAGCTCGCCTTTAGTATCTAGTGACTATGCAACCTTTTGCCAGCTCAGCTCGCCTTTAGTATCTAGTTAACACAGCTCGCCTTTAGTATCTAATTGTTAACGATTGAACTAATTGTTAGTATCTAATCGTTAACGAGCCAATCGTGTTCGAGTTCAACTTGCTCTTTTACTTTTACCTAATTGTTGATAGCTTAATTAGAGTTACTCATGACTCAGACTCATTAAATATGAATAAATAGATAGGAGTTTGAGTTCAACTTGTCTCTTTTACTTTTACCTAGTTGCTAAACTTAATTATGGCTCAAGCTTAACTCAGTTTGCTCGAGCTAGGACTGAGTTCTGACTCATTTCGTTTATTGCTCGAGCTAGGACTGCAAAGGAGCTCGGCCGCTCATGGTGCTCGAGCTTGAGCCTCAGCTCGATTACTAAACAAGCTAGTCGAGCTCAAACTTCAACAAACCAAACTACAAAAATATTATATAAAAGGTTTTATATTTAAGGCAAAACCGAGCCCAATTCGTTAATTAGACGGGTGTTAATAAATATATAGTTATTTTCTTTAAAGACACATAATATCAAGAAACTAAAAAACTGCAAATACATATATTTATTCACACAACATCAAAAGCAAACAGCATATGAACAAAATACACTAGGAAAAAAAAACAAGAAAAAAGCGCACACATAATTAAACAGCTAATCACACTAAAAACAGGTACTAATTAGCTAATTAGCTCTCAAGCTTTGACTCTAGCCACGCACGTTATGGTGTCCGGGCCGGGCTGCTTGATCGGGCTTCCTCCTGTTGTTGTACAAGTACCACGCGCCGCCTATGGCCGCAAGCCCAGCGGCAGCCATCAGGTAGGGGTTGTAGGGCATGTTACGCCGCCGTAAGCCGCCGGCGCCGGTGTGATTGTGGGTGTCAGCCATATCTTTGACAGGGAAAAATTCTTAACAACTTAAAAAGTCTAATTGCCTTGGAAATTGAGATGAAGAAAAGGAGTTCAAAGGTTTTTTTTTTATTTGGAAGAACAATTGCTATCTATATAATGAGATGTGTAATTTATTGTTAGTTTTTTAAATGTTGCATGGGAAGCATACGTGTCAATTTTGAGAATAGATTGCTACACGTGTTTAGGAAAGGTAAATTAAGAATTTGATGAAAGCGGTGCAATTTTTTTTATTTATTTTATTTTATTTTATTTTATTTTATTTTTGCAAACACTTATGTGAATGTATGTAG